TTTGATAATACCACCGCTAGTATTACGTTGTCATAGCAACGCCACTCGTAAGTCGATTTTGCGTACTTACGAAGTTTTGATAATACGGCCCCTGATGGTTAATATATCCGTAAACAGGTAAGACACAGAAATGCCTGACAAGGATAAGAGTGAAACTGCACTCTCGAGTAAGTCGGGAAGATGAGTAGTAAGTAACTCATATGTAACGGAAATATCGACCAACCATATCAAGAAGATTTGATGTGTGAGGGAAAAAGAAAAAGTAAACCAGTCAAGATAATTGAACGAAAAAAATTATACAAAGAGGCCAATTATTGGAGTGAGAAATGTTCTACGATTAGTCAGTAGAACTTGTAAGAAAGCAACAAATTTACAAAGAAATATCCAAGATGACTCCGTATTATGAAGCATGTTAGCAAAAAATTCACAAAGAAATATCTAAGATAACTCCGTATTATGAAGCATGTTAGCAACAAATTTACAAAGAAATATCTAAGATAACTCCGTANTTGGGCGACCGAAATCCTGAGTTACATAAAATAAAATAATGAAGACAAAGTTTGGACCGCACGAACAAAGAGTACTCAGGAATGAAGACTTAAAAAGTTGGGCGACCGAAATCCTGAGTTACATAAAATAAAATAATGAAGACAAAGTTTGGACCGCACGAACAAAGAGTACTCAGGAATGAAGACTTAAAAAGTTGGGCGACCGAAATCCTGAGTTACATAAAATAAAATAATGAAGACAAAGTTTGGACCGCACGAACAAAGAGTACTCAGGAATGAAGACTTAAAAAGTTGGGCGACCGAAATCCTGAGTTACATAAAATAAAATAATGAAGACAAAGTTTGGACCGCACGAACAAAGAGTACTCAGGAATGAAGACTTAAAAAGTTGGGCGACCGAAATCCTGAGTTACATAAAATAAAATAATGAAGACAAAGTTTGGACCGCACGAACAAAGAGTACTCAGGAATGAAGACTTAAAAAGTTGGGCGACCGAAATCCTGAGTTACATAAAATAAAATAATGAAGACAAAGTTTGGACCGCACGAACAAAGAGTACTCAGGAATGAAGACTTAAAAAGTTGGGCGACCGAAATCCTGAGTTACATAAAATAAAATAATGAAGACAAAGTTTGGACCGCACGAACAAAGAGTACTCAGGAATGAAGACTTAAAAAGTTGGGCGACCGAAATCCTGAGTTACATAAAATAAAATAATGAAGACAAAGTTTGGACCGCACGAACAAAGAGTACTCAGGAATGAAGACTTAAAAAGTTGGGCGACCGAAATCCTGAGTTACATAAAATAAAATAATGAAGACAAAGTTTGGACCGCACGAACAAAGAGTACTCAGGAATGAAGACTTAAAAAGTTGGGCGACCGAAATCCTGAGTTACATAAAATAAAATAATGAAGACAAAGTTTGGACCGCACGAACAAAGAGTACTCAGGAATGAAGACTTAAAAAGTTGGGCGACCGAAATCCTGAGTTACATAAAATAAAATAATGAAGACAAAGTTTGGACCGCACGAACAAAGAGTACTCAGGAATGAAGACTTAAAAAGTTGGGCGACCGAAATCCTGAGTTACATAAAATAAAATAATGAAGACAAAGTTTGGACCGCACGAACAAAGAGTACTCAGGAATGAAGACTTAAAAAGTTGGGCGACCGAAATCCTGAGTTACATAAAATAAAATAATGAAGACAAAGTTTGGACCGCACGAACAAAGAGTACTCAGGAATGAAGACTTAAAAAGTTGGGCGACCGAAATCCTGAGTTACATAAAATAAAATAATGAAGACAAAGTTTGGACCGCACGAACAAAGAGTACTCAGGAATGAAGACTTAAAAAGTTGGGCGACCGAAATCCTGAGTTACATAAAATAAAATAATGAAGACAAAGTTTGGACCGCACGAACAAAGAGTACTCAGGAATGAAGACTTAAAAAGTTGGGCGACCGAAATCCTGAGTTACATAAAATAAAATAATGAAGACAAAGTTTGGACCGCACGAACAAAGAGTACTCAGGAATGAAGACTTAAAAAGTTGGGCGACCGAAATCCTGAGTTACATAAAATAAAATAATGAAGACAAAGTTTGGACCGCACGCACAAAGAGTACTCAGGAATGAAGACTTAAAAAGTTGGGCGACCGAAATCCTGAGTTAAATAAAATAAAATAATGAAGACAAAGTTTGGACCGCACGCACAAAGAGTACTCAGGAATGAAGACTTAAAAAGTTGGGCGAGCCGGACGCGAAAAGCCAAGAGAGACACAAACGACTTGAGGTGATGAGTGACGTAAGACGCGCTCAAAAACAGTCGTTAGGAGACGTCTTAGCGCGAGAATCGCTATTCTTGACGATTTTTTTGATACTGCTCGCAATTTAACAATTTCTTGATATACACGCAATTTAACTTTATTAAGGAGGAAACAACCATCGATATCGCTTCTTTGCATGCACCCTGACATGCTGAATTGCTTGAAAGTCCACTACCGTTATATTCGTTTGAGTTATTAAAGCCAGAAAACGAGTTTTGAAACAAATTTTCACACATCGAAAATATTTTATAGTCATTTTTAATCGGCTTCGGTGTTATTATATCGACGTCTGACTTTATATTGATGAAGTAAAGTACGAAAATATCGCCCGTCGATAAAGGCAATAAATACAAGATTCCAACTTCGTACTGCAAATTATTTATTTAGCCAGTTCAAAAGTATGAAGATCTTCAGTTGAAAATACGTGCAATTGTCATTTGAGGAATGAGAATATCAAGATGAAATAAGAAGTGAGAGATAAAGCAACATGAACATGTATATACCAAATGTTAATAAAAACTACCACAATTTCGATGCGGCACCGCATTTATAATTTGTTTGCCACATATACAAACCTCCCATTTTCAAGGTTTCAACCTTATATTGCTCGAAAAAAAAAACTAAAAATTTTATCCAAGCGAACTTTAGGCATTCAGTTAATTTTTAATTAATACGCCGCTTTATTGTAAAGAAGTATTCTAAGCTAGTGACGCGTGACAGCCATTCAATCTTCTTTCTCTACAGCAATGCCAATGTCTGGGGTCCTTGGCAGGCGTTCAACAGAAGTACAGCTTATATGGCGACCAAAGTAGGCACTGAAATGTCACGTGGCTCGCGCCACCGTATATACTTTTTTTACATGAGCTCCGTATACGTGTTGCTGTGGTGCAGACACCTACAGACGAGCAAGAAATGGCAGGCCATACTAAGCCGATCGCAAATCCTATGGCGATGCTAGAAATGCGGTCGAAGAGAACGCAGACGAATTACGTTCTCGTTAAAGAATAAAAGTTTAGAACCAGTAATCTCATGCCACATCGAGTACCCATACATAACCTCTGTATCTCATTCGATGACAGAAAATGATGAGCATGCAAGCATAGGCGAAACAAATTTAGCAATCCATCGATAAAATTTTTTTCTTTAATACAATTTTTTCTTTAATTCAGCAATCGATCAATTCATAAAACGAAAAAAAAAAACACGCAAAGAGGGAAACTTTAAACATCGAAATTTGAAGTCCACAGCTTTTGTCATGAATTTACAACACCGGCGAGAGGATGATAAAGAATATAAGGCGAGGTAAAAGACAAGAAGCAAACGCACCGAGCGCCCGCCGTTTAGCTTTGAATGTAATGAGTAACGACAGACTGAGCTGAATGTACCTAGTGCAACGGTCACTGGCTATAGTGCCCCATAGCCCATTGAGAGGGCGACATGGAGGCAGACCGCAAATTCTCACTTATGCTATACATGATATAATAATCGAATAATTAGAGTATAGAAATATAAAATAACTACTCGCAACACTAAGGAATAAATTATTATAATACTTTTTTGTCGTAATAGTGGGTGAACGTAGAACCATATGGAGATCTGTTTACCATGCGTATATTCGTAGGCCAAATGAAGATTTGTTGATCGAATGATGATTTGTTGATCGAATGGAACTTTGTTGACCGAATGGAACTTTGTTGATCGTATGGAGATTTTCACCGAATAAAGATTTTTACCGAATGTAGATTCATAGATATAATGGAGATTTATAGAACAAAGAGAGCTTATTTGACCAAATAAAGGTTTCTTTACCAACTACAGATTCGTTGACCAAATGCTGACCAATAACCAGGAAATTGCAAGGCAATTGGAAACCATCTAAGTTCAGTTTCATGTGAGTACCATATTTTTACGGATGCATCAAAATGGTTATACTACCATCATAAAAATTTATTTCCTATAGCGAAGTTGCGAACTAACTAATTTGTTTTTAAACTTATCGCCATAACATAGACATCAATTGCTTACAAACCCCCAAAAATATGTAATAAAATCCATACAAGTCGACTTATACTCAGTTTTAGGAGAACTACGTTATTAGGCGAAGTATTTCTTACAGGTTACAGCAATGACTGCTGTTTCGAACGACATGATATAGAATGTCGAGAATATTTGCGATCGGTTTTAAATCTTTATACGGTCGCATGAATCATTCCACGAAGCCTCTATCAACCATACTTCGTCATTTCTAAATAAAATTCATTTGAGTGCATTTTCAAGTTTGCACACTCACCTCCGGGAACATAGTAGATCAACCTACATTATATGTTGCATTAATAAGGGGGAGAAGCTAATTTGAGTGCATTTTCAAGTTTGCACACTCACCCCTGGGAACATAGTAGATCAACCTACATTATATGTTGCATTAACACGAGGGGAAAGCATAACTTACTTGTTTGACCGCCGCGTGAGAGAATTCGTGGCAGAAGCAGGAGGGCTCAGTCGCTTGAGATTCCGAATGGAAGTTCCTTGCGGAGTCACTTCTTCCGAATGACACGACGCCACGGAGGAACTGAATGAGATATTCGGTAGCTCTGACGACCCACACGAGAGACCGACTTTGACTTTGCATGGTGATGAGGACCAACGAGATGAGGGACTGGGCAGAGGAGAAGTTTTCAGGCCTGGACTTGTTGGATGCTGGACGCAAGTGTCGGATTGTTCTGTTTTGAGGATCGGCGCACTAAGGTCATGGATATTTTTATCCTGTGAATAGTTGACAGTGTTTATCGTGTTGGTGGCAACAGAATTTGGAACGATGTCTGATGTTTTAGTTACATTTTCAATGGTGAGAGAAGTGTTCTTTGCATTTGGCATAAGGTCTTCCGTTATGCCGCCGTCTATCGGGTAGCTGCGAGCGGTCGTGTCTTGGGTTGTACCCTCGTTTCGTAGTTCGTTCACCCAGTTTAGCGACGTCGCTGGACTGCCCTCAGTCTCATCAGATTCAACCTCCATGGCTTCGTCGGTTGGAGACGTGCAATGACCACTGAGCGAGTCGACACTAACAGGCGACGTCTTGCCTTCAAGTGGCACGTTCAAACCAGCGTCAGAAGAAACGGGCGTTGCCAAAGGTCCCCCACGGGATGGTATGTCTTCGTCGGGTTCGTATTGGGACGGCGAGGCGTGGCTGATGTGGGGCGAGTCGTAGCAGCTGAAACCACGGGCGTTGTGATGGTTCGTTGGGTGGCCAGCAAGAAAATCCAAATCTAAGAAAAAAAGAGACTGGAAATTACCTAAAGAAGACAGAGATAGCGTAAGTAAATATGGAATTAAACATTACAATTAATATGTACATTAAAAGTTTTTTTTTTTACAAATGTATATATCTTGTCTTTCACTCAGAAAAAAAATTATTTTGACCAATATTCTTCGATATAATAATAAGGCAAGTTACTTTAATACTCGTGCATCGTCACTCACCATCACTGGCATCCATAGCAGCAGGATGCAGCGCCGAGAGCAAGGCCGTGTTTCGTGTTAGTGTGAAATTCCGAATTGTATGAATGGAGGAAGCAAAAGAATATTTGCTCTGTAATTTTTCTATACGAGAAAAAGATTGGCAGAATAGGTTGGATTCAAGCTGAACTCAAATTGGAAGTTCTAGTAACCAGTACTAGGGTCTCTTTGAGTTGCTGAAAATTTAGGCTAATGTTGGCACATGGAAATCCCTAACCTAAAACGGAGCCATCTTTGCTTCAGTTAGCCATGATTTGCATGAGAAACATTCAAGAATTTCTGCAAAGCGTGCAACGTCTGGTGAAAGAAAACGAGTGCCGAGTGAGACATTGAACACAAACTATTGTACTTTCAGAGAAATAGAAAGAAAGTTAGTTGTGTTTCGGTCGAGGTGTTTCCAGGTATCGGGAAGTCCGATGGAAGACCCAGACACCTGGAAAAAGAACAAACAAGTCAGAAATATAAAAAATTAGATCAGTACTCACTGCAGTGAGTGACAGAGAGCGCATTTTCTCGTCGACGAAAACGTGAGTCACGCACAGACAGAAGGACGGACGGACGTGACGTGCACAATAGCGCCTTATTTTCCATAAACGAGAAAATGCGCTAAAAAGTAAAGCTAATTTCTTGAACCCAAAATGATACAGCGCTTAACTACTCTATCGTAGATGTAATTTTCTTTGCATTGTGAGATGCATGCAAGCTCACGAAACTGTTCGTAAAACATTTACTTGATTCCATTCCTAATTTAGAAAAAGTCATGCACTTACTGCCTCATCCACCTCCGCGGCTAATCTGACTCAACCTCTTCTAATAATTTGAAACGCCATAAATAAAATCATCTTTGAAGGATAAAGTATCTCTGATGTAATCGAGACACGAATATATTCCAAGAATCTAGATTAAATTAAATAGAATACGAACAAAATTTCATAAATTGATAAACAAACTAAACGATAGAATACTTTATTATAGAACAACTAATTATGCAAGCATTACATTGTTGAAGAGATTAAAGTAAGCACGGGCGAAATTTGAGATTTCACAAAATAATATCATGTAATGACCTCTTGCAATACGTTTAAAAAGCACAATGAGTCTTAGAGTGGAAAGTTAAATAACAAATAAGAAAAAAATAATTCAATACAAGCTACCAATTAATGCTCGGTTAGAAAAGTTAAAAACTACCAGACTTTTTCACATGGAGTTCGATTAGCAATGGCAGTTCAAATACCATTCACTTTCCAAAAACAATGCTCAATTCTGATTTGCATATCTTGGGACAATGGTCTACTTTTTGTTAGTAGAATTCATTCATCCTTTTCAGATAAAAAATAATAAAACGGTCCATAAGAATAGGAAGCAGATCGAGAGGAAGGTCACACCTAACCATGGACGCAAATATTCGAGTCGCGTGACGAATGATAAGCAAATATGAAAGGAAGCCTGGTCACGGAATGACCTCACAGAGAAATGGGGAACCCAGACCGTGACGTGGAAGCGTGACTGATAACGGCGAAAATCTTAGCCAAATTAATGGAACGAGACCTGAACCTTCAGAAGCGATCGCGTGCAAGCAAGCAAAGATAAGCCCGGGGACCAAAATCCATTCACACCAGCGGAAATGAATGCGTGAACACGAGCCTCCTGCAGTGGCTGCTCGTCGTTGTGGATAAAGTTCACACAAACATTTCCGTGGATCAAAGACCGCAAATCTTTATTCTAGCTTGTATATTAAAACAATACAATAGTTAAGCATCACGAGACATTCAAGCCTCAATTTTGTACTCTTACTTTTTTTAAACCACCAAGAAAATAAAACCAATTGTGCATTGAAAACAGCAATAGCCGAGAAAATTACTGAGAAGAATAATGCAAAAGAAGTTTCACGCATAATTTTTCTCAAAGCGTATTTTACTGAATCCAAATCACTAAAAAACATCAAAGGTCGCACAGATTTACAACAAGATCATCAGAACAATATAACTGTGCAGCGAACTATCACAACAATCACAAGTTCTAATGTGCAATCAATCATACCATTCACGCATTACACTAATTCAACATCAAGACTTGCACTAATCCATTCACCGGACTGGCACAACCAAGCCATCCACGGGTCTCTGGTAATAATCGACGTCTGCAATGCATGCGTTGCGCCGCTAACCTTCTAGCGTCTACTGTAAATATATTTCCACTTCCAACTGGACGTTTTTAGCGCATTTTCTCATTTTCTCATTTATGGAAAAAATGCACTATTGTGCTCGTCATGTCCGTCTGTCTGTCTGTCCGTCCGTCCGTCTGTCCGTCCGTCCGTGACCTCAAGTTTTCGTCGACGAGAAAATGAGCTCTCTGTCACTCACTTCAGTGGACGTATGAAGCTCTTTCGTCCAAGTGGACATAACATATCGCATTTATTTCAGACTGCGCAACGACCAGGGGTATACGTATATGTTGCGTGTAAAATTTTTGTTTTTAGTTGGTCGCTTACAAGCTGAAGGTGCGAGTGGCATGCAATGCATGCACGGAAATCAGCGACGCGATATGAGGCAAGTATTCGAGGTAATGGTACCTTTCGGACTATCGATCATCGGTATACCAAAAATTGAATTAAGTTCTAAAAAAGATGTCCCAATCTACACAAATCAACCCATAAATTGATAGCACAAAATAAAACTACTATAAACAGATAAAATAAAGTCAACATAAACATGTAAAAGAGTCAATTTAGAGTGATGGCAAGCATCGCTGCGCTATGTTGCGGTCACCGACTCAGTCAGTCACGCTTCCGATACGCTAGCTCGCTCACCATCGTGGTCGCAATTCTTATCATGCTAAATGGGGGCTCAAAGTCGCGTGATTTGATTTGCGTTTTAAAGAATGAAAAATAACAATTAAATGCTAGAAAAAGTTGCTCAGCAGAAGATGAGAGACGGAGCGAGTCATGGATGTGTATCAGTCAAAAAATGGACGATTGTTATCACTAAAATCTTCATCTAATTCCATTGACTGATTAATGAAATTTGATGTGCTGATGCAGGAAAAATAACAACCTATTCCAGGCAGAAAAAAATCATACCAGTTGTGAAATTCATTACTACAATCGCCCGGAATCGAGTAAGAAATTCTTTGTCAAATGAGAGCAAATGCTTATAAATTTCTGGGCCCATAATTACAAAAAAAAGTTAAGAGATCGTAAGTTCATCAGCCAATCATTGACGGCCTTTCAAGCAAAATCCACCAATCATAGACAAGAAAATAGAGCATAAGTAGTTAAGTTCACTTAAGTTTTGAAAGTATGGCCCCAGATCGATAGAGAAGTTTTAATTTCTCTGATAGGAGACGGCAGGCCAGTAACTCCTGTTATGTCATCTGAGCCTGACTCAGACCACGGCCTGGGAACTGCAGTATACGTGACCAGAATGTGCGATGATTACGGAGCGCAGCTCAACATTCTTCTGCTCAAATTAATTAACAATTCATGAACTAAAATTAATAGGAACAAGAGGATGCTCTGGTCCACTGCAAGGCGTCCACAGAATCGTTGTAGGCAGGAATGGTCGAGCAGAATTTCGTGGTAGCGTGATAACTGATATACCTACACATAACTCATCAGTGCAATTGGTTCCGTTGAACACCATTGATTTCTGCTTTCCCATGAGACAACTGTTAGCTCCAGCATGCTTCTTTGCAGTTGAACGATCAACCAAACGACGAAAATTTTCGACAGCATTTCATCATTATCAAAACATTTCACCATTAATTACTGCTTTTGTAAGATCCACATAATCAAAGTCATAAATAAATCGGAATAAAAAAAAATTTGCTCAGAACCGACATCAGAATCCAGTTTCTTTCAAATAAATCAATGCCTATAACATGCATAGACCCTGATCATTTCGCAACGGGTAAATCTTCATAAGAATGAACATTTGAGATATTTTAGCAGATGTCAGCAGTTCTCATGGCACACACCTTGATAATGATAGAGGGGGCCTTGAGAGAGGCCGTGGGGCTGTGGCACTTCTTCAGGAAGGCTGCGGAAGCTGATAATTCTGGTCGATAATCTTCGTGTTGGCAGTGGATAGTATGAAGGCTTTATATTTATCTTTCTACAATTATATCCAAGCTGGTTATCTATTGTAAAGATTCAGATTCAAGTGAGTAAACACCACTCACAGCGCAGATGGAAAAAAGTCATCGTGTTCATGCGACGTAAAACGCACGATGATGCCAGCACGTTGCTGAGACCAGACGGTCATTTACTGAGCAATGTTCTCATGAGCGATTATTATAGCTTGAATTTGCAGATAGTAACATAGCAGTCAGGTAATAGGTTTGTACGTCGTTTAGTAGTTATCCAGGAAGACGGTGAAGTCCGCAGCGGAACTTTTAGTAGCGGTGACGTTTAGGCTTGGCCGTAATAGCGGGAAAATGACAACTAAATTATGTGATTCTTGACATCTGATTGAGGTGAGACTCTTGCACGAAGATCATGCGCTGAAGTTTGAACAATGCATACAGTTTGGCGACGGATATTCGGCAGATAATCCAGGTTCAACAGTAACGAGCTAACAGGCTCAAGAATTTCGAAAAAAGTTATTGAAACTAAGAAGCAAATTTTCAAGTCTTGCGGAGTTTAGGGGAATCGATCGACGTGCAGATTATATAGCAGTCGTGGAGGAGGTTCAGCTGCCGGAGCCTCGATCGTCGAATCTTCTTGGTTGGTCGTCCACCATGACGACCACCCTGAAACAAAAACAAACTGATTAATTATCACAATAAATTCCATCAAGCATGAAATACATCACGTTAAGCATCGTACTGTAAAAATGCTAACGGAGTCAAAAAATGGAGTTCAAGATTTAACATCTTCAGCAACTGGCAAGTCAGCAACAACAAAATAACCAGCAACGGATCCCATTACCATACAATTGGGGTAACGACACACGAGAAGGAGGACAGCTGTAACATAATCTTTCCTGAGCCCCCATCCGTGACTTCACGAACATACATACATCTAATACAAGAATCGTAGAAGGAGCGCAAGTAACAAACAACGAAATGATACAATCGGGCATCCCTTTGGGCACTAATTAATAGTAAAGAGACGGAAAACACAACTTGCAAACAAGTGTATGAACTGTGTTCACTCTTCACTCAACAGACACATGGAAAATTAGTGAAAAAAACTACGTTCCTCGATCATTATGTGACTGAAGCGTTTAAAAAACCAAGGCACACGCCGCTAAAATATGGAATTGGAAAGCATAAGAATTGTCTATTTCATTTACTATAGTAGTAAATGACGAGTAGTAAACGTTTTAAGAAGTAGAGCAGATATTGGACGGATCTTGTTCACGTACGACTCGCGGGCTACCAATAATTTAAAAGCAAAGAAAACGCCCAGTAAATACACCATATTCTTCATAGAAAGTTTTTAATCAACCAGCTCCATCATCAGTCAAAAATTTAGAGAATACGATCAAATGGGAAAAGCCAAATTTCCATGAAAAATATTAAAACCCAGACAACGAAACAACAGAACAAGGAACATATAAGCCTATCGATCAACAATTCCAAGTGCTACAGTGAGCTACATTGTACGTTGTTTCCCTACAAGTGCGCCAGCGGATGACGAGGCGCCGCTAAGCCGGGCAGTGATATAGGGATCGTGTTACAGCGCAACGTGAAACGCAAGACGCACCAGCGCCTACCCGCTGCCTCAGGCGCCGCCCGCTCAAAATATTCGCGATATCGAAAATCTGGGCCTCGCAAACTGGCGTAAAGTAAGAACTCCCATGAGAATATTTTCCTGTTTTTCGGGAACAGTAACGCGATTTCAGGAAGAATTTAGATGGAATTGATTTGAAATAAACAGATATACAAGATCTCGAAAGGACATGAGCAACAACAAGAAAATGCGATAGTTAAAGGACCATTAAAAGAAAATTGATTGGGAAAACGCATTCCGGTTTGATGCGCATTGATCGACCCCTCCTCCCGCCCCCACCCGTCAAAAATTATGTATTCGTCAGAAAAATAATTATTAAGATTTCAGATTAATGATGATTTGTAATGCGCAGAGAGATAGCTGTACTAAACAGAGTCTAAATTATTTTAAAGTAATAAGAACACGCGAAATTTGAGGATTTAGAAGGCCATTCTATAGATGGAAATAAAATAATATTTTTTCTACTAATATAGTCTATGTATATTCAATTATAATTTCATAATGTAAGTGATGGCAGCGTGTGTCACCCAAGATCTCATATCACGGACGATCATCATTTGTTCGAGACGCTAAACACGGCAACCATTTCAAATTCGTCGCTGAGATTCACAACAGCCTTTCACTCGACCAGGGATAATGATGCCATAATTAGCGACGGCGACGAACGAGCAGCTTTAAAGCTGCCCACATTCTCTTCAGTAAATTGCACGCCAGCCTTTTACACAAATTATTCTGACATCAAACAAACATTGCGAACAAAATCGAATCTATTATCTATGTAATCTGAAGTGAAACTGAGATATTGCAAAATATAGCGTTGCATCCAAAACGTAATGCTAAAAATGGAAAATTAGCTGCTTGACAATCTTACTCCTAGCGAATGCGTCCTATAATAATAGTAATATATCATCTCTCTGCTTCAAAAAGCGATGGAATCGGTAATATAATTGAAATCTTGGGAATTCAGTGAGAATATCCTAGCTATAGATACTCGTAGCTATAAATACTATAAACAGAATTAAAATGCCATTTACCCTCCAAGTGAAACTTCACAAAATTATAAAATAGTGAACTCTAACTTGCAACGAGGTCTCAAGTATCGCGTCAACAATACCACTAACAGAAATGATATACATTAGTAGCAGCCCATATATAAGTGGAGGGGTGAGTAGCCTGCGTGGCATCTCCGTGGCCGGGGGGCGGACATGGCTGAGTGCGACCAGCATGTGAGGCCGCCTGACGCCACACCGCGAGACATTCTTCTTTTTACTTATTTTCAATGCATTATTATCTATAATATTCTTATATTATTTTAATCTGATTCATTTCCTTCGGTAAATCGCCACTACGGAAATGCTGACAGAGCAAAAATGCGGCAGGATTGGTTCAAGGTGTACAGTGTTAGGGAGTGGGTACTGATCCTATCGTCGCTACCAAGGTTAGCGCGCCTAAACATAAATTGTAGAAAAAATTATTATTGGGCATGTTAACACAAATCTTAAATTAGGATGATAATGTTGGACATTAGATCAATAGTATTTTGTGTGCTGGCAGTCACTCTCTGTAAAATCATTCATTCAACAGAATCGGAGAAATTGAATGGAATCTCGGCCACTGCAGTATAAATAGATCTAATAATTAAGCTTTGAACTTCGTGGGATTTCCTCGTAAAAATTTTATCATCAATTTCATATGTACTCAACTCATTCACCAGGCTTTTACTGATTTTAACTAATATTAGATTCGTCTAATAAAGACAGACATCCCAGAGAAGTGAAATCAACACAATAATTTAAAACAAGAGACGAACGGCATCTCATTCGGCGGGTGCCCGTTGTAATTTATGAACTCAGCCAATAGCTGCAGCCTGCAGGTCGCTCAAGGCCAAGTGTCGTCTGCATGGGAGGCGTGCCCGCCGCCCGGCCGTTACTGAAAAACTAACTCCCAGTGAATGCATCCTGACTTGAACAAGAATTAGTACGAGTGTCACTGGTAAAGTTTTGTGCTTACTTCTAGTGAATGCATCCTGACTTGAACA